GGACACTTGTGAACCAATCAGGTTTGTACAAAATAGCAGGACTTTTAATCTATTAATCAACAACCAATCATTATACAGACAAGTGACACAGTCATATACTTAGCAATCAACTTTGAAATTTTAAAATTAGTCAACTTCTTCCAGGTGTGGTGGCGCATGCCAGGACACCTGGGGCTACAGGGAGACCCTGTCTCAAAAAAGACAACAACAAAAAAAATTAGTCAACTTCCTAGCCATAACAAGTATAGTAAGAATGTTGAAATCAGCAGTTACCAGGTGGTCATACAATAACAGGGTGGTCTTATACTTTGTGTCAAGGTGACCTTGTTACAGCTCTTTATTCTCCTGACTCTGCTCGGCTCCAAGTCTTAGTAATCCAGCTCCAGCTCCAATTATTGAGGAAAAACCAGGACACTTATACCATGGGGGTGGTAGTAAAAACCTTAGCTGATAGGTACTTTTAGGATGCCCCATTTACATGTGGAAGTAAGCTCCTGCCAGGCTGCCAGACTGCCTGAAAAATCACACAGGAAAGCCTGGCATTTCCAGAGCCGGAGGCCATGTTTCTGTGGTGGCTACTTCAAAAGATGAGTCAGGAAGATGCCAGGGAAGCATCCTGCTGAAAAAGGAGTCTCTGCATTTGAATCCGAGCCCGTAGGCTTTCCGGACATGAAGAGACTACTTTACACAGCAAGAGTCCCCAACAAGTGGCCATGACCTAAAGACGACTAATGGGGAGGTCCAAGAAGCCACTCTCTCGTCATGATACAAGAAAGATCACCCTACATCTATCACCCCCTCCAAGGCTCAGGGACTTCAGTGGAAGATGGATGGAAAGATTAAGAGCAGAGGAAAGGGGTGGAGTATCTCCCGATTGGCTAGTTCCTCCAATGGGTGGGGCCTGCTGCAAAGTGTGGATGATGGGGGTGTGGCTGGGAGCCATGTTGGGATGGAAGCCAGGAGCCACCGGTAGAGTGTGATGGTGTAGGAAACTAGCAGGCAGTGCAGCAACTCAAAGACCAATGGACTGACTCCCTGTGGACCTGGGGCAAGATCTCTAACCCTGGAGGCGTGAGCAAATGGTAGTGGGGTTATGGGTGTGGCACAGTCTGATAAGGTGGGCTTTGAGTTGTGGTGGCGCCGGGCCAGGCACTGGGTACTCATACCTTTTAAGTTAATAAAATCACATAAAACATATTATATGGTTTGTCTGATCGTGTAGAAGACCCAGAGAGAATTCGGGCCACAGTGTGTGAGACATGTCGCCCAGGCTGTTTTGGAATGCTAGTAGTTGAGGATGACCTTGAACTTCTGGTCCTGTTGCCTCTACCTCCCAAATGCTGGGATTACAGTCCTCTACCACCATACAGAGTTCCTCTGCATTTTTATGGCTTTAATCACATTATCAAGAAAAACCACAATGTATTTGAGAGGGATACTTGCTCCAGAGTATAATTCTTAGGTTAGGAAATAAACAAAACCTCTAATAATTGGCACCAAGTTACTTAATCTCTCTGTGCTTCCTTTTCCTTCCCCACCCCATTTTCTCCCCATGCTTCATTTTTCTTATCTGTAGTAAATAGGTATACTTAGTACAAAGCATGGTACAATGGTACACAGTGCTGCAGAAACAGCAGTCATTATTAGTTCTAGAGTCTAAGCTCTTAAAGGGCATAATCCTTTTTTTTTTTTTTTTTCCTTTTGTTAGAGACTTGGGTCCTCTGTAGCACTGTCTGGCTTGGAACTCAGGCACATAATCCATTCTTGTTTTTATGTTTTAGTTGTTAGCTTTAGCCTTTAATAGCAAAGCTATCGCTCAACCCCTGCCCCCAAGAGAAGTAAGCCTTTATTTCCATTCTTTTTTGAAATAGGGCATCCCTGGAACTTGCTATGTAAACCAGGCTGGCCTCAACCTCACAAACCTGCCTCTGCCTCCGGAGTGCTGGGATTTATCCTACTTTGAGCCAAAATTTATTTTTGGCCTTTAAAAAAAATTTTTTTTTATATTTTATTATTTTTATCTTATGTGTATGAGTGCATTTTCTGCATGTATGTGAGTGAACCTGTGTTGTGCAATGCCGCAGAGGTGAGAAGAGGGCTTTGGAGTCCCCTGGAACTGGAGTGAAGGATGGTTTGTAGCCACCATGTGGGTGCTGGGAATTGAACCCAGGTCCTCTGCAAGAGCAGTCAGTGCTCTTAACGGCTGAACCATCTCTCCAGCCCCTTTTTTTTGGTCTTTTTGAAACAGGGTCTCCCTGTAGACCAGGCTGACCTTGAACTCCCAGAGATCTGCCTGCCTCTGCCTCCTAAGTGCTGGGATTAAAGGCGAGCATCACCATGCCCAGCCTTATTATTATTATTATTATTGGTTTCTTTTTTTTGCTTGCTCGTGATTTATTTCTATCATGCAGTTGCCAGAGTTATTAAAATAATGTCAATGACATAATGAATCTAATAAGATGTTGACAGTGGATCTGATGATGGGTTAGTACCTGAAACATCAGGGGAAAGTACATTATGTGCTCACTTGCGCCATCAAAGTGACTCCAGGCAAATGGAGCAGCAGCGCTGAGACTTCCGTTGATGCACTAAGCGCTGCTCTTTAGCTAAAACCTCTCCAGCGCTCAGCCCTAAATGATAGATCAGAAATGAAACTTTTACACCCCAGAGGGAGGCCTGCGGCGGGTCCTGCAGGCTCAGGGAAGCAGAGGGTTATTTTTATTTTATGTGTATGTGTGTACTGCCTGCATGTATGGAAGTGCACTCGTGTCGTGCAATGCCCGCGGAGGGCAGAAGAGGGCGTCGGATCCCCTGGAACTGGAGTTACAGTCAGTTGTTACCTGCCATATGGGTGCTGGGATCTGAACCTGGGTCTTCTGCAAAACAGTGAGTGTTCTTTAAGCGCTGAACCATTTCTCCAGCCCCTATTTTGGTCTTTTTTGACACAGGGTCTCCCTGTAGCCCAAGTTGGCCTGGAACTCCCTATGAAGATCAGGCTGGCCTCTAACTCAAGAGATCCACCTGCCTTGGCCTCTGAATTCTGAGATAAAGGCATGTGCCACCTCATCTGGTTCAGACACACACACAAAAAAATGTTTTCAATTATTTATGTGTGTGGGTGCAAGTGTGCCATGGCTATGTGTGGAGATCAGAGGACAATACCCAAGTCAGTTCTCTCCTTCCACTATTTGGGTTCCAGAATTGAAACCACATCAGGTTTGGTGTTACCTACTGAACTATCTCACTGCCCCCTTTTTAAAAAAAAAACATAGCTGGGCGTAGTGGCACAAGCCTTTAATCCCAGCACTCGGGAGGCAGAGGCAGGCGGATCAATGGGTGTGCCAGCTCTCCAGCTTTGGGGCTGGAGAGAAGGCTCAGCGTTTAAGAACACTGGTTGTTCTTGCAGAAGACCTGGTTTTGAATCCCAGCACACACATGGCAGCTAACAACTGTCTGTAACTCCAGTTCCAGGGGATCCGGCAGCCTCTTCTGTCCTCTGTGGGCACTGCACAACAGGAGTGCACTTATCTACACATAGACAATACATGCAGACACATAAAATAAAAATATTTAAAAAAATAAAAATACATGCTGTGTGCATGATATATTTTTGTGTTCAAAGATACAGTACACATTGTCGGGGAACAATTTTGTGGAATCCATTTTCTCCTTTATGTGAGTTCGGGGTTCCAACTCAGGTTACTAGGCCTGTGTTTCATGTGCCTTGCCAGACACCTTGTTTTTCTTGTATCCCAGGCTGGGCTTGAACTTGTAGCACTCATAATCCATGTCTTACCCATATTTTATTCTTCTCATCTTTGCTTTAAACATCTCCCCAAACTAGTTTTAGGATTATCTTCCTAAAGTATAAACATCATCATGTCATTTCCTCAGTTTGCTTTCCAGTGCTTATGGGTAAAGCCCATCTTTACAGTTCTTATATCCATGGATTTTAGAGTCACCATGTGGTCTTTTGAAACTTCAAAGCCTTTGTTTTAGTTCTCTTCTGTCTCAAGGATGCTGATTACTCTTCATTTTTCAAAGGTCGAAAAACTCATCTCACTTCATTTCCAGCTCCAGAATCACAGCATTTGTTCATGATTATATTACAGCCAATCACACTTTATTAATAATTTAAGATCTTTCAGCCTCCACGTAAACCAATTTCATTTCATCAAATATTTACTGAACTTGTGTATATAAAAGGCCCTAGCCCGGCGTGGTGGTGCACGCCTTTAATCCCAATACTCAGAAGGCAGATCTCTGTGAGGCCGAAGGCAGTCTGGTCTAGATGGCGAGTTCCAGGACTACAGGGAGTTCCGGTCTCAAAAAGACCAAAATAATAATAATAAAAAGTTTTATTCCCGACTTCAAGGATATACCAGTGAATAAGTAGGTTGTGGCGAAAGTTACAGAGAAATTGTCGGGTGAATCTGATTTGAAGATTTACAGTTCAAAATTTACAGTCAGGAGACCAGTTTTCTGAAATACTTCAAAGTAATGCTTTTCAGAGGGACTCAAGTGTGAAATTCAGAAGTGAAGATACGTCAAGGACGAGGAGCAGGAATCGGCTGATGTGGTCGGAGTCATTAACGGCGGATGGTGTGTGAAACCCACGAAGCTCCGAGATATGGCGTCAGGACGCAGGTTTCCCGAGATGGGCAGGCCTCCCGTTGTCGGGGCGGAAGTGCACAGTGTGCTCAGTGTGGGTCCCTTGGGGAGCACTCCAAACCCTAAATAAACTTTCCCCTCGTCACTTCTCAGAGACCAAGCCTCTCCTTTGCGGCAGTGGCAAACAGTGACACAGAAGCTTCTCGAGTTTGGTAACACACTAGGAATCCGACCCCGTGGCCCAGAGGAGTCTACTGCAGAACCCGGCTAGTGATCCGCCTAAGTAGGCGGAAGAGGCGGGTATGCGAGGCTGCGCATGCGCATCAGTGTTCTCTAGCTCCTGTTAAGGCGCTGGTGCCTAAAAGGGGAAGGGCTGGATCGCAGCGCCGGAAGGAGTTGACTGGGCGGAGCTGAGAAGCCGCGGTGGTGGCTGCGCGCGCGCGCGGTTGCGAGAGGGAAACGCCGCGAGGGCCTTCGCAGGCCGGGGCTGTGGGGACGACGGACGGTGACTATGGCCGCGGCAGCAGGCGGCGGTCCGGGGGCGGCTGCGGGTACCGTGGGTGCAGGGGGTGCGGCGGCCTCTGGCCTGGCGGTTTATCGGAGGAAGGACGGGGGCCCGGCTAGCAAGTTTTGGGAGAGCCCGGACACCGTGTCCCAGCTGGATTCCGTGCGAGTCTGGCTGGGCAAGCACTACAAGAAGGTGGGTTCGCGCGCGCCGGTGAGGACTGGGGAGCCTCGCGACCGGGGCTGGAGACGGCTCTGGCCCTGGGTGAGCCTCGCGCCGCCCCTCCCCCGCGCGCGCCACGAGGGACAACAAAGGCCGGCTCCGCGCTCGCCACGCCCCCGCGGGCTGAGCTCCGCACTAGGAGACCTGGGGGCCTCTCCCGGGCCCACGCACCCGGCTTGGAAGCCCCTGCCTCGCTCTTTTCCTGGCTCTTCCATGCGAGAGCTGGTGGAGCTCGGCAGAGGCGCTGGGCGTGCGTCCTTTTGTTAGCCACCTTAGGTGTGTGAACAAAGAGGTTAAAGACTGAGCCCAGCATCTTAAAAGCTTTGAAGTTTTGTTTAGAGACCAATTTCTAAGTCGTTAGATAACCGAGGGTTTGCTGCCTGGTGTGGATTCGCTATGGGACCTAGGACGAGTGGCCTTTCAAGTTAGTTACAGAATGTTTAAGTCATGTATTATAAGGTGAATGGGTACTACAGAACTTGAAATGATGGTTTTCCACTTCATTGTACTTTTGGTAATGTATAAAAGTTTTGAGTACAAAAGTTAATGTGTCCTTTGATGAGCTCTTTACTGAGAACTCTTTATACTAGAAAACCTTACATCATTTGTATTTCCTTTGTAATGTTTTCCCATTTTTTGATGAAATTTCCCGTGTTTCTCCTACTTTGGAGTGTACATTCTGAGTCAGTGGTCTTAAAAGTTGTGACAACTCTTGGTTAATATTTATTTACACCTATTTGTGTGTGTGGATGCCAACCTACAGGCTTTGGTTCTCTCCTAACACTTTGTGGGTCCAGGAATCACACTCAGGCTGTCAGGCTTGGTAGCAACTGCCTTTACCTGCTGAGCCATCTCGCTGGCCCCAGTATTTAAGGTAGTGTAAAATCTCCCCTTTATGTAAATATTGAGGAATGACTCCCTTAGATGATAGAGTGAAACAGCCAGAAATTCTACTAAAATTTTAGGAGGCTGCCTGCCTGTTCTGTGCGTCCCCCTTTGAGGACTTTGTATGGGGATTGGAGAGTGCAAGGACTTAGGTTAGTCTTTCCACAATGTTCAGGATCATGATTGGCTTCATCCATACTAAATATCCTTAATATTTTTTTTTATAGAAAGGGAACTAATTTTTTGTTTGTTTTAAAAAATATTTTATTTTGTGTGTATGTTGCAACTATGTTGTCTAGTGTCCAAGGAGGCCAGAGGAGAGCATCAGTCCTGGAACTGGAGTTAATGATGGTTGTTAGCTGCCATGTGGGTGTTAGGATTTGAACCCGGGTCTTCTGCAAGAACAACCAGTGTTCTTAACTGTGGAGCCATCTCTCCAACCCTATTAATTGTTTTGACAAACCCCCTTCTCCTTTGAGATCACATTTGGGATTAGATTTTCTCATCTCAATGTACATTGATAAGAGTATTGGTCTCCCTTAACATAGAATACATTTGTTACTTTTTTTGTTTAGAGAACCTCACCAGTTCTTTTACTGATTTATTTTCAGGTAGTGTCCAATTGTGTAGCCCATGCTGACCTGGAGCTCAATAAGAGTGTTGGCTTCAGCCTGGCATGGTGCCTCACAACACCTTTAGTCTCAGCGCTGGGGAGGCAGAGGCAGGCTGATCTTTGTGAGTTTGGGACCAGCTTGGTCTATCTGCATAGCAGGTTCCAGGCCAGCTGGGGCTACAGGGGACCCTGTCTCAACAACAAAAAAAGAATGCTGGCTTCAAACTCAAGATCTTTTGCCTCAGGCTCAGGACTCTGTTGATTATGCCTCTAAGGTTTGAAAGACAAAAATCAAAAGGAATTTTGATATATTTCTGCTTGGTTCTACACTAAGCATTTCTGTTGCATTTAACTGCATTTTTAGAATGTATAAATTTTAAAAAAATTTTATTATTTTTATTTTATGTGTACACGTGTATTGCCTGCATGTAGGTAAGTGTACCTGTGTCGTGCAATGCTCACAGAAGACAGAAGAGGCTGTCAGATCCCCTGGAACTGGAGTTATGGACAGTTGTTAGCTGCCATGTGGGTGCTGGGATTTGAACCCGGGTCTTCTGCAAGAACAACCAGTGTTCTTAACTGCTGAGCTATCTCTCTAGCCTGGTTTGTTTGTTTTTCAAAACAGCAGCCCTAGCTGGTCTGCAAGTCACTCTTGGTCAGGGTGACCTCAACCTCACAGAAATCTGCCTGCTTTTGCCTCCTGATTGTTGGGATTAAAGGTGTGTGCCATCATGCTTGACTCTGAAAATTTTTGCATTTAATTTACTAATCATGCTTCCCTGTCATGTTACCCATTATCTTTTCTTGGCCATGAAGCTATCTACTGCTTCTCAATATGTATTTGATTTTTTTCAGTACAGGGAATTGAGTTCCAGCCTGGTACATTCTAAGCTCACTTCAGCACTGAGCTTCATTTTTGACCCATTTGCTACTGGTATGGGTATGGCTTTTGAAATTATACATCCTAGATGACTTTTTACTTTTTTATTATATTTATTTGGTGTGTGTACATGCATATTATTATGCATACATGTATGCAGGCTGAACGGCAATTTCTGGGAATTCTCTATTTCTACCATGTGAGTCCTGGGGATTGAACTCAGGTTATCAGAGCTATCTTACTGGCCCCTGTTGTGTGTTTTGAACGTTTTTTGTTTTTTGTTTTTTTTTTTGGTCTTTTTGAGACAGGGTCTCCCTGTAGTCCCAGCTGGCCTGGAACTCGCTCTGTAGACCAAGCTGGCCTTGAACTCAGAGATCCGTCTGCCTCTGCCTCCCGAGTGCTGGGATTAAAGCTGTGTCCAGCCATGCCTGGCACTGCCATGTGTATATTTTTATAAGTTTCTTTACAGCAGAGAATGTGCCTCAAATACCTACAAAGTTAGTATAGTGCCAATGCTTAGTAGGTACTAGGAAGCTTTCTTTTCTACACACTGTACCTGTTTTTAAGTCCTGTCTTTATCTTGCAGTATGTTCATGCAGATGCTCCTACCAATAAAACACTGGCTGGATTGGTGGTACAACTTCTTCAGTTCCAAGAAGATTCCTTTGGGAAACATGTTACCAACCCAGCCTTCACCAAGCTCCCTGTAAGTATACCATCCTCATCCTCTTAGGAGCATCTTCAGATTTTGTACTCTTAGGTATAGCTGATGGCTGATTTCCCTTGCTGCTGCCAGGCTGTAGGGAAAAGAAAAACAACCTGTAGAGAGAAGATTTTGTTTTCTTCCGAAAGTCTCATATAGTCCAGGCTGGCCTGGGATTGGCTATGTAGTAGAAGCTGGTTGGCTGTGAACTCCTGATCCTTCATACTCTACCTCTCTTGTACTGAGATTATGGTCATGTGCTACTATCCCTGGCTAGGTGGAATTCTTGCTTGCCATAAGTCATTTAACATATCTTAATCTGTAGCAATTACGAAGACTTGAGGATTATTCTAGTATAGGTGCTATGCTCTCTGCTGTGCTGTCTGTACTGTTCTTTGTCCTAATAGACTAGAATCTTATTGCAAGAGTACTTTATAAACAATTTTTAAAAAAAATTTATTTAGTGTGTGCTTAAATGTGTAAGTGCATGGGCACACACTTGCTACAGTGAACATGTGGAGGTCAGAGAAGTTTCAGGAATGGGTTCTCTATCATGTGGGTCACATGGCTCAAACTTAAGTCACTGGGTTTGGTGGCAAGTACTTTTACCTATTGTCTCCTCTCTTCCACACAAAGTAAATAAATATATGTAAAAAGAAACAAAACCAGGAAAAAAGTCAAAGAAACAGAATTGACTAGAATGGGTGTCCTGACTACCTTTAGTACTAAGTAGAAAGCCAGAGTAAAATTTTATATAGAACTAGAGAGAGACTTTTTACGCCCCTCAATGCTAGGGATTAAGCCTAGGGTTTCAAGTGCTGTCAGACTGAAGTTTTTAAATAACTTTTATACTTTAAAATTATTTTAGAGTAAAAGTTTTCAAAGATAGTACCCCTTTGCTCAGAATTCCTGATTGTCAATATTTTTTTTTCAGATTTGTATCAAGTTTTATAAAAGAATTCACAAATTCAGAGTTCCTATTAGTCTCTTGATGGAAGAGCCACTGTTAGGACTATAAGAAATAATTTAAGGGTCTCCAAATTAGGCGTCTTTTGTACTTAATGTGTAGCTTTTGCTGAAGAAGTCTATCTTCATACCAATCACCTTTGTAAGTTTATTAGTTTACAAACAATTGTAACACCCAGTTAATAAAATGGAAAGATAAAATGACTTAGTACTTTAAATAACTTCGAGCTCTGTACTGTGGCTCTTCATGAGAACTCTTGAACCAACAAGCAGATTTGGCTGAGCAAGGCTGCTGCCCTAGTGGGATTACAAGCCTTCCATGGCACTGCCTTCCTTTGACTAGTACAAGCCAATTAAGAACAGCTTCAGGAACAGTTCAAACCTTCACACAGCCATAAAAAACAGTGTAATAATTTAATGACTAGGTTTTTTGCTATAATTTTGGCAATAAATGGTTTCAGACTTGAAAGGCTATGGTTTAGAAGACCTAAAATTTCTAAACCAGTATTGACCATCTGTCAATATTTTAAAAATTTGCTTCATTCTCTTCCTCTTTTTATTTCTGGTCTTTTTCCTGGAGCCCCAACTGACCTGGAACTCTGCCTGCCTCTGCCTCCTAAGTGCTGGGACTAAAGGCACCAGTGCCTCATTATCTTTCTCATTCTTCATATATATCATATGGGTTTTTCCCCCTTCCATCATTATCTCTTAAATAGTTGAGTTTTTGTTGTTGTTTCTTTATTTTTGAGACAGGGTCTCCCTGTAGCCCCAGCTGTCCTGGAACTCACACTATGTAGACCAGGCTGGCCTTGAACTCAACAAAGATCTGCCTGCCTCTGCCTCCCTAGTGCTGGGATTAAAGGCGTGCACCAACATGCCCCGCTGAACTTGTTGAAATTTTTATTATTATTATTATTATTATTGTCTTTTTGAGACCGGGTCTCCCTATAGCCCTAGCTGGCCTGGAGCTCAAAGATATCTGCCTGGCTCTGCCTCCCAAGTACTGGCATTAAAGGGGTGCATCACCACACCTGGTTTATTTAATCGTTTTTTAAAAAATATTGTTTTATGTGTATGCATGTATTGCCTGCATGTATGTAAATGCACTCGTGTCTTCAGTGCCTTTGTAGTTCAGAAGAGGGTGTTGAATCCCCTGGAACTGGAGCGGTGGATGGCTAGCTACCATGTGGGTGCTGGGAATTCAACCTGGGTCTTCTGCAAGAGCAAGCCAGTGTTCTGAACTGCTGAGTCATCTTGCCAGCACTCAATTTTGCGTCTTTTCTAATGGTTCAGAACTGAGTGTGAATGCATAATTACATTCTAATATTTAATATTGGTACATGACTCCTCTGGTAATACTTTTCGATAATATAACAAAGACTTTTTTTTTTTTAACTTTATTTTGGGTCTGTTCTGGTACCTGCTATACTATAGACAAGGCTGGTCTTGAATTCATAGCATTTCTCCTGCCTTAACTTTTGGATTACAGATGTGAGCTATCATAACCAGTTTATTTACTTTAATATTTTATTATTTTATGTGTATGAGTATATTGCCTGCATGTATGTGAGTGCACCTGTGCCGTGCAGTGCCGTGGAGGTCAGAAAAGGGCTTTGGACTTCCCTGGAACTGGTTAATGACGGTTTGTAGCCAACATGTGGGTGCTGGGAATAGAACTTGGGTCCTCTGCAAGAGCATTCAGTGCTCTTAACCACTTTATGAGCTTATTTTTTTAATATTTTATTATTTTTTTATGAGTATGATTGTATTGCCTGCATGTAAGTGACCCGTGTTGTGCAGTGCCCTCGGAGGTCAGAAGAGGGCGTCAGATCCCCTAGAACAGCCCCATTAACTTAATTAATTAATTAATTAATTAATTATTTTTGGTCTTTTTTGAGACAGGGTCTCCCTGTACCCCAGCTGTGCTGGAACTCACTGTGTAGACCAGGCTGGCCTGGAACTCACAGAGATCCACCTGCCTCTGCCTCCCAAGTGCTAGGGTTAAAGGTGTGTGCCACCATACCTGGCCATTAACTGTATTTTTTAAAAGTTTTAAAATTAAACTTGTTGTGGAAGCTGGAGAGATGGCTCAGCCATTAAGAGCATTAGTTGCTCTCACAGAGGACCTGGGTTTGGTTCCCAGCACCCACATGGCTGCTAACAACCATGCATAACTTCAGTTCTAGGGGATCTGATGCCTTCTTCTGGTTGGGGATATTGCAGGACACAGGTCATTTACTCACATGCGGATAATACAGTCATACACATAAAAAAATAAAAATAGGGTTGGAGCGATGGCTCAGCAGTTAAGAACATTAACTGTTCTTGCAGAGAACCCGGGTTTGAATCTAGGCACCCAGTGGCAGCTAACAACTGTCCGAACTCCAGGTCCAGGGGATCTGACAGCCTCTTGTCCTCCGCTGGTGTGGCACAACACGGGTGCACTTACTTACATGCAGGCATAACATAACACTCATAAAGTAAAAATAATAAATAAAGGGGCCGGAGAGATGGCTCAGTGGTTGAGAAAGCTGACTGCTCTTGCAGAGGACCCAGGTGCGAATCCTGGTACCCACATGGTAGCTAAGACCTGTCCATAACTCCAGTTCCAGGGGATCTGACAGCCTCTTCTGTCCTCCGTGGGCATTGCATGACAAGGGTACACTTACCTACATGCAGGTAATACACACATACACATAAGATAAATAAATAAAATATTTTAAAAATACAGTTAATATTCATTTATTCAGTGTAGTTTATCAGATGTCACATAGAGTCAAATATACATATATAAAATAGTTTGTTTTCTTTCCTTGCTTTTAAGAGAGACTTCTTTTTTTTTTTTTTTTTTCTGGTCTTTTTGAGACAGGGTCTCTGTAGCTCCAGCTGTCCTGGAACTCACTATGTAGACCAGGCTGGCTTTGAACTGACAGAGATCTGCCTGCCTCTGCCTCTGGAGTGCTGGGATTAAAGGTGTGTGCTACCAAGCCTGGCTTTTTTTTTCACTTTTGAGATAAAGTCTCTCTATAGCCCCAGCTGGTCTGGAACTTGATATATATACCACACTAGCCTCAGTCTCAAAGAGATTTCCCGGCCTCTGCCTCCTGGGAATTAAAGGCATACACTGGGGCTGGAGAGATGGCTCAGTGGTTAAGGACACTGAGTGCTCTTGCAGAAGACCTGAGTTCGATTCCCAGCACCCACATGGTGGCTATGAACCATTCTTAACTCCAGTTCCAGGGGAATCCAAAGCCCTCTTCTGACTTCTGCATCATTGCACGACACGGGTGCACTCACATACATGCAGGCAATACACTCCTACACATAAAATAAAAATAATAAATAATTTTTTTTTTTTTGGTGTTTTTGAGACAGGGTCTCCCTGGAGCCCTAACTGTCTTGGAACTCACTATGTAGACCAGGCTGGCCGTGAACTCACAGAGATCCACCTGCCTCTGCCGAGTGCTGGGATTAAAGGCATGTGCCACCATGCCTGGCTAATAAAAATGTTTTTAAAGGCATATACCACCATGTGGGGCTAGTGTATTGAGTGTTACCTGCGTGGATATAAGTGCATTCGTGCTTACAGTGCTCTCAAAGGACATTGGAGTCCCTGAATTGTAGATACAGATGGCTGTTAGTTACCGTGTGTCCTGGGAACTAAACCTAGGCCTGCAGGAAGAGCAGACAGTACTCTTTAACCACTGAGCCATCTTTCCCAGGTCCTTTATTTTATTTATTTTTTTGTCTTTGTGAGACAGGGTTTCTCTGTAGCTCCAGTTGGCCTGGAATTGGCTATGGAGACCAGGCTGGCCTCAATTTCACAGGCCCTGGCCTCAATTTCACAGGTAATCGCTCTGCATTTTCCTCCTCAGAGCTGGGATTAAAGGTGTGTACCACTATGCCTGCCCCTTTAATTTTTAAGAAGGTTATATATATTTTATTTTTTTATGTGTGTAGTGTTTTGTCTGCACACATGTAAGTATAGCCATATGTGCAATGCTTGTAGAGGCCAGAAGAAACTGTCAGATTCCCTGAAACTGGAGTTGTGGATGGTTGTTAGCTACCAGGTGGGTGCTAGGAACCAAACCTGGTTCTTCTGTAAGAGGAGGTAGTGCTTTTGCCCACTGAGCACTAGTTCATATAAAATAAAAATATCATTTGTTGCTGGGCATGGTGGCACACACTTTAAATGTCAGCAGTCTGGAGGTGGAGGCAGGTATGTCTCTCTGAGATCAAGGCCAGCTTGGTTTACATAGTGAGTTTGAGACCTGCTGAACAGCAGACCTTGTCCCACAGAAAAAAAAGTACTAAAGAGATGGTTCCGCATTTAGGACCTGGGTTCAGATCCCAGCTAAAAATCCATGACGTGGGTACGCTTACATATAAAATAAAAATGAGTAAATTACTGTAGTCCCAGCACTTGGGAGGCAGAGGCAGGCGGATCTCTGTGAGTTCAAGGCCAACCTGGTCTACATAGTGACAGGACAGCTGGCGGGGGTGGGGGGGGCGCTACAGGGAGGCCCTGCTTCAAAAAAAAAGTAAATTAAAAAATATTAATAAATATGTGTATGAGTCACACTTTTGGTATTCCTAATTTCAAATATGTAAGTATCTAACAACATGACATTAATCAAGGACCTTTAGTCATGTAATTTTTTTTAATACATTTTTATTTTTATTAGTTTTTAAAAATATTTTTATTTTATGTGTATGCATGTATTGCCTGCATGTAGGTAAGTGCACTTGTGTCGTGCAATGCCGGTGGAGGACAGAAGAGGCTATCGGATCCCCTGGAACTGGAATTAAAGTTAGCTGCCATGTGGGTGCTGGGATTTGAACCAGTGTTCTTAACTGCTGAGCCATCTCTCCAGCCCCTTATTATTTTTATTTTATGTTTATGAGTGTATTGCCTGCATGCATGTGAGTGTACCTGTGTTGTACAATACCAAGGAGGTCAGAAAGAGGGCATTGGATTCCCCTGGAACTGGAGTTAAGGACGGTTTTTAGCCACCATGTGGGTGCTGGGAATTGAACCCGGGTCCTCTGCAAGAGCAGTCAGTGCTCTCAACTGCGGAGCCATCTCTGCAGCCCATAGTCATGGGATTTTTAACTCCTGGGAACTAAACCATTATTTACTTCAAGAGTTAGATTAGAGAAGGATATTTTTAGTCATCAGCTATAATTAAAAAAATTCATGGCTTAGTTCCGGTAGGACCAGATATACTTCTCTTCTTCTCAAAATAGAATTCTACATTTTCCCAAATGAAAGTGATTACTCTAATTTGTGGTAACATACAACAGAATTGAATAAGAAAGTTAAAAGCAAATAATTTTTTTAAAAACTTATTTTTAATCTGTGTATATGTGTGGGTGCCCATGGAAGCCAGAAGAGGGCATTAGATCCCCTGGAGCTGGAATTACAGGCAACTGTGAGTTGCCTGGTATAGGTGCTAGGACCTGAACTCTCATGTTCCACAAGATCAACAGCTCTTAAGCATTGAGTATTCTCTGTCCCTGCAAATAATGTTTTCTTTTGTTTGTTTTTGAGACACAGTCTCCCTGTAGTCTCAGTTGGTCTGGAACTTACTATTTAGACCGGGCTGGTGTGCATCTCATAAATGCCTTTAGTCCCAACATGCCAGAGTCGAGACCAGCTGGGGCTATAAGGAAACCCTGGTTATACGCATTAGTTTTTCATCACTTAGAAGGTAGAGGCAGGAGAATCAGAAGTAAGCCATAGCTACATGGTGAGTTGAGCCCACCCTGTACTATATGATATTCTGTCTTTGGGGATTAAACCAGGCCGGGCATGGTGGCGCATGCCTGTAGTCCCAGCACTTGGGAGGCAGAGGCAGGCAGATCTTTGTGAGTTCAAGGTCAGCCTGGTCTGTATAGTGAGTTCCAGGACAGCTGGGGCTACAGGGAGACCCTGCTTCAAAAAGACCCCCCCCCCAAAAAAAAATGCTGTGTACCAGGCCTGGTAGCTCAAGTCTTTTATACCCATTTACTTGGGAGGAGGCTAAGGCAAAGAGTTCAAGACCCACCTGGGCTACAGGTAAGTTTAAGGCCAATTTAGGTAATTTAGTGAGAACCTGACTTAAAAAGTCAGTGCCAGGCATGGTGGCGCACGCCTGTAGTCCAGCACTCGGGAGGCAGAGGCAGGCAGATCTCTGTGAGTTCAAGGCCAGCCTGGTCTACATAGTGAGTTCCAGGCCAGCTGGGACTACAGGGAGACCCTGTCTCAGAAAGACAAAAAAAAAAAAAGTTGGGCATGGTGGCACATGCCTTTAGTCCCAGCACTCCGGAGGCAGAGGTGGATCTCTGTGAGTTTGATGCCAGCCTGGTTTACATAGAGAGTTCCAGGTCATGTGGGGCTATAGGGAGACCCTGTCTCTAAAAGACCCAAAAGCATGAAAATAAAAAGTAAAATATTTGATTCAGTTTCAAGTGTTGTTTTTGGGTTGGGAGTATATTAATGGCATTGGAAAGGAAATTGTTTTTACTCTGTAAACTTATTAAAAAAATTTTGGGTGTGGGTGCTTGTGCATGTATATGCTGACATGTGGAAGTTAGTGATCCACCTGATATGTGTCAGGAAGCCCTATGCACTTTATTTTTAGGCAAAGTAGCCTGGAGCTTACCACTTAAGGTAGACTGGCTAGCCCGAATGCCTTAGGTAGCTTCTGTCTCCTCCAGAACTAATCATAGGTGTGCCTAGCTTTTACATAATGGTGATGGGGATCTGAACTCAGCAAGCACTTTTGTGACTGAGCCATCCTCACATTTATATCTTTAAATTTACAAAACATAGTTTAGACCTGAATAATTTTGTCAGAACTTTTATTTTTCTCTGTTTGTATAATTTTTAGGCAAAATGTTTCATGGATTTCAAAGCTGGAGGCACCCTGTGTCACATTCTTGGGGCTGCTTACAAGTACAAAAATGAACAGGGGTGGTAAGTTTTTATATTTATTTGTATGTTTTGATGTGTAAAGTTGACTTAATATTAAATCATATCCTTTTGTGTGGTGTTACAGAATTCTGTAAGAATTCTTAAAGCTGGGTGTGGTGGTGCAAGCCTTTAATCCCAGCACTTGGGAGGCATGGGAGGCAGAGGCAGGCAGATCTTTGTGAGTTCGAGGCCAGCCTGGTCTACATAGTGAGTTCCTGGACAGCTGGGGCTACAGGGAGACCCTGGGGGAAAAAAAAAAAAAAAAAAAAAAAAAAAAAAGTCTTAAGGTGTGAATTTTAAAAGGTGAGTTTTCAGAATTTATAAGTTGTGTTTTTCAAGAGCCTAGTTTCCATTGTTATGATAGATTTGGTTTTTGTGCTACTGGGCATTGAATCAAAGGTCTTGTGCATGTTGAGCATATGCCCTATCATGGTGTATATCCATAGCTGTGGGGAAATTATTTCCTATAGAGAATAGATAGGTACAAATGAGAAAGTAGGCTCACTGAGAAATTAGTGTATTATGAACTTGCAACATGGTTATTTGTGAACCTGATAGCAGTTTTTAAAAAAAATTTTTAATTTAATTTATTTTTTTTGGTCCTTTTTTCAGGGTCTCCCAGTAGCCTCAGCTGGCGTGGAACTCACTATGTAGTCCAGGCTGGCCTTGAACTCACAGAGATCCGCCTGCCTCTGCCTCCTGAGTGCTGGGATTAAATGCATGTGCCACTATGCCTGGCTCAAAAAAAAAACAACAAATAATTTTTTTTATGATTTTTTTTTTTTTAATTAAAGAAATTTTTTGTTTGAGTATTTGCTTGCTGCTTATGGAAAATAGGGTGTTGGATCTTTTTTAAAAAAAATTCTTATTTAGTTAGGCATGGTGGCGCACACCTTTAATCCCGGCACTCGGGAGGCAGAGGCAGAGGCAGGCAGATCTCTGAGTTTGAGGTCAGTCTGGTCTCCATAGCGAATCCAGGCCAGCTAGGGCTACAAGGGAGACCCTATCTCAAAAAGATGGGAAAAAAAAATTACTTATTTAATAACCACATGATTAGAAGAAGCATTTCATTACAGCATTAACGCATTCAATAATAATTTCCAGTGCAAAGATGCATCTCTTTCAAAATTAGCTGTAAAGTTTTAGGTTCACAGTTGAATTGATACAGTTATGCTGTATTGAACTCAATATAAATCTACCCTATAAGACATAAAATAGAATGAGGTTTTAACCTTCACAAAAGATCTCCGTTTCATTTTAAAATACACTGTTTCATACAGAGAAACTCTTTTTTAATGCTACTAACACTTAGATGTTTGCGCATTCGTCTCTAATCTCTTATGTATCTGATTATTACTAGTCACAGTCGGTTACTTTCTGAGATCCTTGGCACCTGAGCATGGATATAAAATCATCATGTAGATTTCACTGGTAATGTGTTTCAGCTCTACTAATTAGCATGAATCAAATTTTTACACTTCTTCCTCAAATACAACTTTTTTTTGTTGATTTTTGTGTGTATTTCATACAGAACATCCCACAACAATCTTATTCATGTATATACCCACATGCCAAATGGCACCCTCCTGTAGTCCCCCCAACCCCACCCTAACCCATCTGGAGCCCATATACTCTGTAATCCCTTACTGTTCACTGTGTTGTTGGTGCCCCCAGCTGTTCTCCAGTGCTTGTTCATCTGCTGAATCTAGTCAGCCTATCTAGAGTTCCTTGTTTTAGGAAGATAAGCTCTTCCTCATCTAGCAACAATTAGTTGCCAATATTCCTTTAGATAAGATTGGGGTCTGCTGTTTATTTTCCCAGGTTACTGTCTGGGAGTCTCTTGGGCCACCCTGGCCAACACCTCAAAGGAAGGTATCCTGTCTGGCATTGTTTCTTGTTATGTAGCTTTTAGCTATACAGATGGACTCTTAATTATATTGATCCCTTTAATCTTTGGTTATAATTTTCCTTTTGGGTGTTTAAGACCATACAGTTGGCCCAGACAAACCAGTTTATTTTTATTCTTAAGGTCGTTTGAGGATCTGTTCCTCAGGAGTCACATGGGCTTGGGAAGGGTCCCTGGCTTCTTTCTTTTACCAGTTCCATCTATGGGAAGATAAACAAAAGGTCCTGATCGACTGTGGCTGGCTTCACTTGGAAGCATGGAGGAAATATTTCCTCTGTGTTGACCCTCCTCTTTATAGACTGGACACTGGTTCAAGTCCATCTGGTGGGGTTTCCATGTCCTCCTTGATGAAGAGGACAGGTGATGCACCACAGTTAACAGGACATTTTGAGAGATGCTCATAGTCCCCTGGAGCTTAGTTGACCTAGGAGGGCAAGGAGCAAAAACTGTCCTTTATGTCCCTCTGACCAAATTAGTATAGACCTCAAAGTAAAGCT